TAAGTTTGGATCCCAGCTCAATGTTTTTTCTGGAATTAAGTTATTAATTAAATGAGCTATAAAGCTGAAGGGTGAACAATTTTGCTGGTCCAGTTATTTTACTGAGCTCCTAGTTTGCTTGAATGTTGCTGTTCTTACAAAATGACTCCCCTCTCCCCTTTAAAATGCCCACCACACTTGGTGGATTACAAGATTCAGATCAGAAGTAATACAGTCAGCTGGGCACCCTCTTCTTGACATCCATAAAGTCATCATTGCATAGCGGTTCCTCATCTCCAGGAGACTGAGGGCCCTTCCATAAGCCATATAACCCAGTATATCAAGGCAGATAATCCACAATATCTGCTTTGAATTGGAATATCTGAGTCCATACTGCCATATAATCAAGTTCAATGTGGATTCCACCACTGTGTGGAAGGGACTTAAGATTACCAAGCTTTAAACCTGGGACTTTTGATGAGACTTCACATAGGAATCAGTAAATTAAATTAAGTGGGTAAAGATGAAATTGCAAAAGATGGAGTAATTGGAAAAGAAGTGCTTCTCATAGGATGGATGAGAAATGAAGTTTCCACATGCTCTTATAGCTGATCCCTTCACTCCAGATCCAAAACAAGTCTAAGTGGCAGAAATAATGGACAGGATTTATCTCCTTTATTCTGGTAAAACTCTTGGTGCAGCAACATAATACAGTTGTAAACACCACCATAAAAGTACTGGAATTCAGCCAATTGCTAATTGAGGCATCACCAACATAAATACCACTAATTTCAGTTTTTTGGCTCACCAGCAATGAACACATTTTTAAAAGCTCCTATGAGATACCAGAGTCTTCTATCATTCAGAACCCATGTCACCAAGACTCCAACTTTCAACTTTAGACATATCTATATTTTCATTTTAGCACAAATTAAGCATTATTATGGCAGTTGTGTACTCCTCGTTCCATCATACCATTTGGGTTACCAACATTTAAACCTGCTTCTCTGTCTTTTAACTGTGGTATTTTAATTATTTTTATTTATTTTCTTGATTACAATATCTTAAAAAGAAATAAATGGATAAGATAGAGCAGAAATTGGGGATAGCATGGGAGTCTAACATGAAAAGGTCAAAACAATTTTAAAAAACACCCCAAAACTGCCCAAATTGCTAGGGATCCCGGGGGAGGAATCCTTCGTATTTTCTTTTCCGGGGACAAATTCTTCTCTTATTTTCTTCAATTTAACTATTATCAATTTTATTTGTTTTATTTTTTATCATATAGTTTCTTATTAAAGTCCAGTCCATTGAGATACACACACACATATGCTTTCTTATGTTTATTTAGTATTTGGGTTAATTTTTCCATAGACATTATATCCATTATTTTAGACATCAATTGTTCTTTTGAAGGAATTTCTTTTGTTTTCCAATAGTAGGCATTATTTATTCTGGCTTCCATCATTAAATAATTCAATAGTCTATCTTTGTTTTTGTCCAATTCTATGCCTATAATTCCCCATAAGTAACCATCTAGTTTAAACTATAATTTTATGTTGTGTAGCATCCTCTGTATTTTTCCTTGAATTTAATTCCAATATTTTAAAGCTATTTTTACACATCCACCACATGTGGAAAAGGGTTCCTTCATATTCTACACATTTCCAACATTTGTCCTGGATATTTAGATAACATTTCGCCAACTTCTGTAGAGTGGTATACTGTGTTATTTTAACTACATGCCAAGGAAAGCTTCACCTGGGTGGAGGACACACTAGGTACCTAAGTACATGTAATAAGAAAAAGGGCTTGCAGTGTTACAGTTTTGTACAATTGTCAGAATCCTACACGCCATGCTGACTGGCAGCTTCTGAGAGATGTAGACAAAAAAGTAACTTCACCAAGTTCTGTTACACAGGCCAGACCTGTGTGACCAAGCAGCAGCAATTGTGGTCAAGAAGGGAAAACTTTTTCAAGAGGAAGACTACACCAGCTGGGACAGGCTATAGTAGTTTGCCTTTACCATAGCCTACTGGGAAGCAGCTCAAAAGTCACATGGCAGAGGATTAATTTGAACTGTCCCTGCCAAATCAAGACCATTGTAATAAACAAAAACATATCTTACAAAAAGACAATGGAGACATATGAACATTATAACTGATTGCTTTATTGATACTGTATTACAAATGAAAAGTACAATAGGTGCAGAATCCGGGCAGTTTGAATCTTGCATATTGAGTGCACACAAGTGGAATATTTCAAGATACATCAACTCCCATTTCCCACCCTCTTTCCCACCCCACCCCGTCATATAAAACTTGAGCAGACAATAATACATACAATGAAACACACACATACATACACATACATACAAATCCAAAAACATTTTAAAATTTTTTTCCAAAACAACAAATACAATTCTTCCCTTCATTTAGTGCAGAGGCAGCTAGGTCTATCACCAAAACACTGAGCCTTTGCAATCAGGCAGGATGAAATAAATGAAGCTTGATATGGGACTGTTAATATGGTGGAACCATTTTGGGTAACCATGTCCCACCCTATCCAGTGCTTGTGGCTTTGCACTAGAGGGGTGGAAGAAATCAGACCAGTACGGATTCCAGCAATGTTTTGTATTTTTTTAAGTGGGTTTGTCCCACCTTGCCAAAGAAGACCCCCCCCCCCAAAAAAAAAAAGAAAGGGGAAAAAACTAGTCCGTAAACTAGAAATGCCCTAGGGATCAGTTGTGCTATACCAGTACAAGTAATTTAAATTGAATTCCTGGTGAATTGTGCTGTTTGCTGTTGTAAAGTCAATCACCCTCCCGCTCTTTTGTACTGTTTTTGATCTCTTTTATGATTATCAAGGAGACCTCACCAAATTCATTACATGCCCTGCTAAAGAAGGCTTGAAGATACCATACACTTGGATCACTCACTCAACCATTACTGGCCTAAGGACAGTTTGTGCAACGTCTCTTGGGCTAATATGAAATATTATCAAATTAATATTTCCAAGGCATCTAGGTGATCTGAACAATGGTGCATCCCCCTCAGCATAGTTAGAAGACATCTCAGTGCTAGAACACATTTCCTCTGGCTGGCTCATCATTAGGTTTGCATCAATCGTATGTGCCTGAACTTTAAAAAGACTTGCTCCCAAATATGCATGCACAGGACCAAAATCTTAACAGTGAATGTCAACCTGGGAAGGAAAACCAACTAGCCAAGGTACTACCCAACATTTTTATTTTGATCAGATTTAAGTTTTCTTGCCCAGACTTATTGTTGTGGAATTTTGATTTTAATTAAATTTGGCTTTCACTCCACATTTTATTTCCCCCCAAAGGTATTGGCAACCTAATAGGAAAAAATTCAACCTCTTTCTGGTACTAAAGTAAATAATTGTAACAAGGTAAGAGGATTCTAACAACAACCTTGATTTCTGTTTTTTTAAACAGCTAGAGAGGCATTGGACCCATTTCCAAGATGCAATGCTCTAAAGCCAGTAAACCCGCATATTTTCTTAGTAGAGCGTTTCTCTCATCCTGGCCCACTGGCTACTGAAACTTTCCTCCAGTTGACAAGCACTTGAGGGGTATTTAACTTTATAAACATTCCATCGACTTATATCAATACTCCATAAGCTCAAATAAAGCACATACTTTTAACTTCTTAGGGACCCAGCTCTGTTAAGAATATTACAAAACTGATCTCCCAGACTATAGATAAATCCCTTTCATTACTGTTATGCTGCAAAAAGAAAGTGATTTGTCTGCTTTTTACCTTATAGCATATACATATTTATAGGAAATTATAAAGAAGCCTTGATACTTGTGAGTGAAGCATATTTTATGCAGTACTGTTTTTAAAAGGGGAAATATTTTGGTAAAGAGCTTCCATGGGAAACTTTTGTTTTGAAAACGTAAACTTTTAATCTCCTTTGGCTGCTCTCTCCCCCCTCAACCTTGTTTTACAGGGCAAATTATTTTTTTCCTTCCTTTATAACCCATTTTGGGGTGCAATTATTGTTTTGCAGTGCCATGGAAAATAAAACCTTTAAAGGTGTCATGGCTCAAGATTGCAAGATGCAAATTCCAAAAACTGATAACAGATAAAAAAGAGAAAAGAGTACAATTCAAGTAATTTGTATGTTTTTTAAAATGTACAATAATATATAAGGCAAAGCGGGTAAAGAACCAATTAGATGTTCCCCTTTTTCCTAAGTAGCTGAGTATATATGATAATTGGTTTCCCATTTTGAACTAACAGAATAGGCAGGGAGCTGATAATTTAAAATTTGAAGTTAAAAAAAACTACTTTCTGCACACTCCTTCAATCAAGGTTTGGGTATCAAACAGAGAAGTTGGCTCTTTAATTTTGCTATCTTCATGCCTCAAGTCAGATTCTGGCTTGTACCACAAAAAATTAAGTGGGACCAACCACTCAGATAGATTATGTTTCCTTAGCTCTTCATTTCTTGTGTTGTCAAAGCCAAATTAAACTACACTCCCTAGTCATTGGAGTGGAAAGAAGGAAAATTTATATTTTCAAGCAGGTTTCCTGTTATTGCTGCCAAACAATGAGATGTTCAAGGAGTCTTCAGAAGGACTAGACCAGTGTTTCTCAATCTGTGGGACCCCAGGAGTTTTGGCCTACAACTCCCAGAAATCCCAGCCAGTTTGCCAGCTGTTAGGATTTCTGGAAGTTGAAAGCCAACACATCTGGGGACCCGCAGGTTGAGAACCACTGGACTTTGCCAAGGAGAAAGGAAGCAAAAATCCAGCAGATTAAACTGTTGTGTGGTTCAGTTTAAGTCAATCTCTTTTTTTATCTAAAAAGTAGCTATCATATCAGAAAGAAAATGGCAGAGGAAGACGGGAAAAAATGACCAGCTCAATAGGATGGTGCTCCTCATGCTACAAAGGCCAATGGGTGCACTATGTACAGTGAATAGTTCCATGAAATCCAATGGGATTACTCACAAAGCACATGTGTGTACCTTTGCAGGTTTGCTCTAGGTTCTGAAGTTAAGACTGAGTGAAAGCTGTAAGGAAGACAAATAATTTCTTGATCTACAATGCTTATAGATGTATTTGTGTTTCTGCATGTGCGTGCATTTTATGTATATGAGTGAAAGGCAATTAGCTCATATGGTCATGACCAAGCTATATTTCAGAAGAGAAAAAAAGAACACTTATCACACTTTCCTAAAACGAAAAGCTAAAAATTTTTTCAAGTTCAGTATTCGAGATCTTGTCCTTCCCACCCCTCCCTCTTGTAATTTTCTGGATTGATTCCCCCCCCCCCCCGTCCAACTTACATTAGCACCATAACAACATTTAAAACATTACAATCCCTCTTCAGTTAACTACGCATACACAAAAATGGTCCCATTAAAAATAGTGCTTTTTTCTGCCAAACAAAAAAGTTATATATAATATATATTTTATATAATTCAACTAAATCTGTGGCAAATGTGCAATGCATACGCCTCCTCCATTAAAGTGAACCTATGTTCACTCTCTCTCTCTCACTTCATCTGTGATTTCTAAAAAGGTGCAAGTACATTTGGAACTGTGTAATTAAAAATAAGGTAGTGGGCCTTCTCATTTCTTTCTCTGGCTTTTAAAAACGTGCAAAGAAATTTTTAAAAAGAACCCCTCAAAAACACATACTGTAGACTAATTCAGACTTTTTGACAATGTAATGGGATGGAAACAAGGCCAGAATTTAAAAGTCTCAGATGTCACACACCCCTTTCAGTTTTATTGTCAATATAGACACAAATTGGGCTTCTCCCAGTGTCATTTATCTTCTCTTGCTCTGTCTTCATTGGTCGGCATATGGACTAAAAGGCAGTGGCCTGAACAGTTCAAGTGCCTTAACTGTCCTTTTTAAGTAAAGGCCAAAAAAAAAAAATACTGGGCAGGGAAAGAAGAAAACCAAAAGATCTTTTCTTAACAAAAATAGTAAAGACAATGCCACAGAAATGCTGCTGCTGTTGCTGCCACCGCCGATGTTGTAATCCCATTCTATGTCAGTTGTTTGGTGTTACGGTGCCCTCTTTCTGTTGCTCCTCAGTATGAAAGGGCACTTGCCCTCCCTCTTCTCTACCTTGGTTTTGGAGAGAGAAAAGGGGTAAGGCCAGGACTGGGAAAGGTCTCCCATGAGACCAGAAAAATAATATTAATATTAATAATAATATTAAGAATCCATTTTGCAGACTGTTCTTCACAGTTCACTTCTGGCTGACTGATGTTTCTGAGGTGGTTTGCACAACAAGAGGCTTTTGAGTTGGCAGGACCATCAAAGGACGATGGATCTTGGATTCTTCAGACTCCTGGAGTCCCTCAGCCTGCCATCGATATCTGTGGGCACGGTGGATGTTGGGGACTCCTCTCTGCAGACGCTGGGCACTCTTTTTCTGCCATATGTCATATTTTGAGTACTTGGCATGAGAGGGTTTTTGAAAGGGATCCTGCAGGAAAATGTGGAGGGAAGAGAAGGAGTGAACTCCAACAAGTTGGGGACAATGAAATAAAATAACTGTTGGTTGAAGTTATCCTAAAGAAACCTGGCCAGCCTTTGGATGTAATACCAAATGATTAGAAAAAATAAAACAAACAAACTGCATTGTGGGACAGATATTTTTAACAACACTGCCTTTTTAAAATTTGTGGTTCAAATAAAGAAAAGCATATTAGCACCTTAGTCTAACCAATTTATTACAGTGTACGCTTTTGTTATAGCACCTTCATCAAACAACAAGGGCTACAGGGCATAAAACTCATGTCATAGGAAATATGTTAGGATTTAAAGAACCACATGATTCCCTGTTGTTGTCTACAATGAAATTAGTCCCTAGCTTTATTTAGCGATCTTTCAGACCAATATTTTTATGCTTATAATACATGTATAGTCTTCTGTGTTGTGCTGAAAGCAGCTTGACTGAGTTGCCAAGGGTCATCCTTCTTCCTTAATTTTCTCAATAATGATACAAAATATGCACCATTAAATGTGCACCTCAGTAGCTCCTGTAAATAGTTGCTTCTTAAGCAACAATTTCAACATAACATCAGGCAGGCAAGCGGGCATTTAAGAACATACAAACCCTAAGATTTGGAGAAATGCTTATGTTTGCAGTAACTTTATAAAACAACAACCCAAAACAAAACTCTTGGAGTGGAAAAATAGTGACCACCCCCACATGGCTTAATGAAGATGGAACATGTTCAGTGACCATGGAATCGTGACTATGGCATGGGGAGGCAGGACAGATAGTATCTTCACTTACCTTGTTGAGTGCTGGTAAGACAACAAGTGAAGTTGATGAGAGGTCCCGTTCTGATTTGACTGATTTTGCACAGTAGGTTTCCAACAGATTAAGATCACAACTCCGGAAGCAGCACTCCTCCACAATGCCACGGTTAAGCCTTCCTCTGTTTCTGCCCACAGGCCGACCTGTCAATAGAGAAATATATTTAAGTTAGGGTGGAAATGCACAATGATTCTGCACATAACAAATCTTAATCATTTAAGGTATGAGGCCAGGGGGTGAGGGAGACCACGATTACAGCTCCTAGATTCACCAATGGGTAATGGAAATTTAATTCAATCCTACACCCAACTGCTACTTTTGGTATGCCAAGCACCAATTACTAATGATTATTTAGGTTTATTTACTTATCCATTATTAAGGATTTATCACTAGTTCTGAGGCAGTGTTCTCATGCTCCATCATATTAGCTCTGCTCCATCCTTTGTGTGCTTGTTCATTTCTCTGGGCACAACAGCCATGAGGAGAAGTATGCTTAACACAGAACTGATTTAAGGATGAAAGTTTGCTTAGACATATCCCAACTTTTCTCCAGAAGGCTGGAGTTTTTTAAAGCAGTAATATAGGCACCTTCTACACTGCCATATAATCCAGATTATCAAATCAGATAATCTGGATTTTATATGGCAGTGTAGAAGGGCCATAGACTGCTGCTGTTGACAGCTGCTGATCAAGCAGTTTCTAGGAAAGGTCTCAATTATCAAATTAAACAAATTGATAAATCTGTCTGGCTAATACACTACATCAATATATCCACAACGTATCATTTTTTTATCAGAAAAAAAGAATCCAAGTGAACAAGGTTCACCTTCTTTGGAGGCTTTTAAACAGAGGCAAGAGTACTTTGTGTATTCCTGCATCGCAGGGAGTTGTGTTGGATGGCCCTTCTGGTCTCTTTCAATTTGATGATTCTTAGGGTATTCCAGCCTGAAAGCTACCTCTGGACACAATGATGGAAATATAGTGCATTTCTAGTTTAAAAGCAGAGTCCAAAGTGGTGACCCTGTTTAGCCAGAATGTTCATTCCAATAAACAATGCATTTTCCCAGTAGCTTTGCCAAAGAATCATACAGATTTGGCTTCACTCTCAAGCACTTGGCTTGCCAAACATAGACAGTGGCAGGAGCACCCAGCAATAATAAGGTTTAACAGAACACTTCCACGTGTTCAAAGGATATAACATACATTGGGCAGACCTTGAAAAAGAGGGCAGGGCTCCAGGACTTTGTGACTGTGGGGAAGAGAGAATTTTAGAAGGTACAGCTTGATGTAAGATGGGGAAAATGGCTGGAAGTTCCTCTTTTACACAAAACTCAAAGGTCTAGGAGCCCTGGTCTGTAATTCATGTAACCGCAATTTAATTCAATAATCTTCACAACTGACCCATATGCTAGGTAATAACTGCTTTATTGGTAATCATCTCCATATTGCAGAGAGGGACAGGTGGGATAGTGGATTTCTGGACAAGAAAAAAATTGTCACCAGAAGGTTTACATTACATCTCCCACATCCACCACTGGCCATTCTAGATAGAGATAATGGAACTTGGAGGCCAAAGAGTTTGGAGAGTCAAAGGTTTTCCAAACCTGTTTTAAAACTACTTGGCTATCAAGAAGAGATTTGAATGGGAGTATCTTTGTTCAAAGCCAGAATTCATCATGCACCAATTTTTATTGAAAAATAGTTGCATGTCCTCTGCAATCTTTATTTTGTCATCTCATTTTGAATGTATTTAATTGGTTATTAAGAGGAGTTTCCTCATCAAGCTTTCCTATTCTGGTCCTTTCCAGGAGATCTCAGGGCGCTTCCAGACGTGGCTTCAACCTGCGCCAAAGCAGGTTTCAAAAGCCCACTTCAGTGTGAGTGTAAATCTACACACCATCCCCAAAACCCAAACTTTCCTTGGTGGGGGGAGGGTCATCATGCCATCCCAGTAACTATTGGGATGGCATGGGGCCACTCCAACCCCCTCCCCAAAAACAACCCTGGAAAGAAGAAAAAAATCTTACCAGGCCACCATTAAGGTACTCCTGGAGTCCTCTTGGCATGTAGAAATAACATGCCAGGAGGCGGGAGAGGCAAGGAGGAAAATGGCTCCTCGCCCCCTTCCGGCCCCATGGTGCATCATTTCTACATGCCAGGAGGACTCCAGGAGTACCTTAATGGTAGCCTGGTAAGTTTTTTCTTCTTTTAAGGTGTTCAGGAAGGGATGGAGCCTGAAAAGCCAAGAGAGCTGTGTGTGACATGTTCCCCTGACCCAATCCACTCTGGCTCCACACCTGGTAAAGCATCCAGATCTTACCAGGTATCTAATTAATTTGGGACAAAGCAGGGTTTACCTGTTTTGTCCCAAATTAATTTGCTTTTACCAGAGGCTTTGTTTAGGCAGGCCTTAGTGTTCAGGCCTGCCTAAACTCAGCAGTAAGCTTTATCAGTCACCATCAGTCCATATGGTCAAGCAATCATTTGAATTTTTTCTCAAGGAAAGGGCCAGGGGGTCATGTTTAATTGGGTATACAGCCTCTACGCATACACACTTGCTAGCTTGCACAAAGGGCAAACAACAAGGCATGTGGCTAGCCTGAGTTCTTCTTCCATAATAATTTTCCTTTTTTATTCTCCCTAAACAGGAACTGCAACTACCTTGCAATTCTTATAACAATGTCTGAGCTCACAGTACCAATCCACATGTGGATATCAAAGAAGGAGTGTATGTGTATGCATGACAAGAAGAAGAGGGAAGGGAAAATGCATGTTGCAGAGTGTAGAGGCTTATGTGCCACACTTCTGGATCATTGTAAGATCCTTCAAAGTCTATGCCCCTTTTCCTCACACACCCCTAACCACCACTTCTGTCTGATCAATCAAGCACCAAATCAAGCGGAAGATGACTCTGGGTGTAAACAATCCTTCCTCTCCCCCGTCAGAGGAATGTGGGCACCAACAAGAGAGCCTTTGTCAGATGGCTGGGCAGCAGCGGCCATTGTTCCAAACCCCTCCCCCCAAAATAGTTTTACTCCCCCCTTTTTTTCCTAGTATGATTCTGATGGGTGCAGAAATTGAGAGAGAGAGAATGTGCTTTGTCAGCATAAGTGGCTGGAAAGAGCTAAATTCTTATCAGCTGTTGGAAAGGAAGAAACAGGAGCTGTTGTTTACAGAAGTCAGACGCCTTTTCTCCTTCTCTCTCTTTCTCCTTTCTCCTTCAACATGAAGGAGGATGCAAGGCTCATTTACCTATATTTGAGAGGGGGGATTCTATTTATCTTTTCAACACAAACTCAGAGTAGCAATAAAGTTTTTTTAAGCCTCAATCACTTTCCCACATGCACTTAAAAGCCTAACATGGTCCTGGATCTCTTGCCTATAGCAGCTTTTGAAATAAAAGTGACAGAAAATGTTCTTTCTGTAACATCACTCTAAACTTCACCATTTTCTGAAAATATTGCTAAGACATGGGAGGTGGGGTGAACTGAGTTTGTTGTTGATTAATGGCTTCCTATACAGAAGCATTTTTAGTGAGACATCTCCATTTTTTCAGGGCAGCCACCAGGTTTTCCCACCCACTATCAAATAAGAAATATCCCTTGAAACATCAGAGAGCCACTGCTCTTTAAGGCTTAGCAGAAAGTCTGACTTCAATAGGGCTATGATGAATTGTCTCTGCTAGGGTCCTGACCTTTAGTGGTTTGGGACTGAGCTGTAGATTACAGAGCCTAAAAAGCAACTTCCCTGCTTAAAAAAATGTTTTCAGGAGAGACTTCAGACCACCTACAACATGGAAAACAAGGCCATGGCATCTTGGAATGCCAGATGTGACATGACAATTAGTTGCACAGCTTTTCTTGCTACACAGAAGATGCTTCTTTTCTGGTTATGGAAGAGGAAGTTTGGCATTTTCTTGTGTGCTAAATTAAAACATTCCATGCATTCGCTTAAGCTTGAACCTCACAGACCAGGATTCTGTAACTTTTTGTACCCTGACCAAAGTTTCTTGTAATTTAAATCGTTAAAGTTAACAATATGAATGATACCCCACTAGTCAGGATTTGTTTTGAGTTCCAGGCCTCTGCCTTGGCACAAATGAATCTAATGGGTGGTGTCTTTGAAAATATGTAAAACGATCTCCACAAACATTAAGAGGAAAGGGTTTGTGTTTTGGAGGAACGTTGACCTCAGACATACCACTTTTTAGAAATCAAAAGGTAGACTACAATCCATGTACTTCTAGGATGCAATTCTAATGATGTCACATCCCTTAAAACCAGGCATGGGTGAACTTTGGGTGAATGCCTACCTATCCCTAAAATATCTATCCTATTTCACTTGGACATGCCCAGCATTTTTTAAAATTTTAACCATTACATTTGGCCCTGCCACAGGTTTTTAAATGCATCGTGATATTATTGTTATTGTTTTTGCTTTGTTTATGAGTTTATTTATTGTTGCATTGTTGTTTTATTGATGTATTTGGGCTCGGCCTCTTGTAAGCCACACCGAGTCCTGCGGGAGATGGTAGCGGGATATAAATAAAGGTTTATTATTATTATTATTATTTGGCCCTCCAGGTGTTTGGACTTCAACTCCCATAATTCCTAACAGCCAGAAGTTCTAAAAATCTGGAGGGCCAAAGTTTGTCCATGCCTGCCTTAGACTCTGTGATAATTGTGCCTACTCTCTTACCAATTGTTCTTGATGTCATTTCCAATAATAAAATACAGAGAATCAAGAATTCCTTATTTAAAATGTTTAAACTGTGTGCATGTGACTAAAAAATAACTGTTTTACAATGACCTTGGGTAAATTAGTATCTCATCATGGCAAAAACAAATTATCGCCCATAGTGGTTACAGAGCCAGATGCAATTAAGAAATGTGATGCATTGATGTTCAAAGTAGTACTGTTACCCCTCTAGGGACAAATGTCTTGTGATCTAGCAGATATATTGTTAATATGAAACTGAAGTTGAAGGGCTTTGTCATCAGATAGGAAAATTTCTGTCTTCTTAATTACCAATATTTTCACTGCAAAACTGAATGGTGCTTTTTCAAGAATGGCAATGGGGAGTCTATTTTACTATGTAGAGCATTTACCTTTCATCGATTTTAGATGTATTAATAAAAGAATTTAGTGCAAGCCCACAAAAATCTCTGATCGGCGTGGAAACCACAGATGAAATTGTGTCAGATTGTAGCTACCTTGTCATTTAGATATTGTGCTAAAGTTGATATTATGGAAGATGAAACCCTTATGGCAACCCTAATCACCCTATTTTCAACAGCTCTGCTCAGGTCTTGCACACCGTTACCTTCCCCCAGAGTGGTACCTAATGATCTACTCACATTTGAATGTTTTCGAACAGCTAGGTTGGCAAAAGCTGGGGCCAACAGCTGGAGCTCACCCCGCTCCCCAGATTTGAACAGATGACCTTTTGGTCAGCAAGTTCAGCAGCTCAGTGGTTTAACCCACTGCACCATCGGGGGCTCCTTGTAATGCACCAAATAAATGTAAAGTTTCATTATTCCTGGGTGCATCTTTTCTCTTCAATCCCATAAAGGCATGCATTTCCAGCCAGAAAAAAACACGGTGTAATACAATACTTACTGAAGTAAAAACCTCTGTCCCCACAAACAAACTGCAAGGTGTCCACTAATTCTCCACCACAGAGAGTTTCAGCAGGGCCATGTGAAGAGACAGAATCGATGGTGTATGCAAGGAAGGTGAGCGCAAGAAGCAGGATCCGTCTGGAGGTGCACATTTTCGGTGCCTACAAGACACAGATTCAAAAATAATTGAACATTATTTTTTTTTCTTTACTATTTTGACAACTGGCAACTTAAGATGAGCTGGATCAGAGATGTCAAACACATTTTCAGTGAGGGTCATATTAGCCTTATTTTTGCCTCCAAAGGGCCATATGTAATTGTAAAGCTGTATAAATGTATCTATGTCACCCTGGCATTGAAAGCCTTGCAGACCACATAGAATGATGTGGTGGGCCACATTTGGCCCATGGGCCTTGAGTTTTAAATGTGGGCTAGATGATCAAAGGAGAAGATTCAGATTACCACATGGTAATAGCTTCCAAGCTGACCTCTGAGAAGGCATTACCTCCAGAATGGTCAATAGGAGAGGTCTCTGCCATTACCCCTCCTGGGGTGTGTGTGTGGCATGTGGATCAGTATTATGTATAAGATAGACAGTGGGTGGATTTATACATGAAGGTCCATAGGGGAAGCATATTATAGAATTTCCTGAAGAACTGGTAAATTCCTTTAGAGACCATCCCCCCCCCGGTCATGGGTAAGCGAAAATGTATCTGAGGTTATGAGGATCTTACTGTACAACATTTATGTATTGTTCTGATATTATGGAAGATGGTATCATGTCCATTAGAATGGAATATACTGTACTAGAATCAGATCTCTAGTGTTCTATCTCATTGGTTAAAAATGTAAAACTTTTAATTTGATATAGACCGTGCTTGGTTAATTTAATGGTGTGGGCTCTAGGATCCAAGTACTGATCCAAGCACTGAAAGAAAACACATTTATCTCAATTCCCACAGAGCATTTATAATTCTGATAACTGAATAGGGACAATGTCTGGAGTAAGAGCTGCCAGTTTGGGGTATTGGTGGACTATAGTTCCAAGAATTTCTGATTATTTGCCATGATGGATGGGGTTTCTGAGAATGGAAGCCATCATCTGAAGACTCAGATTTGGGAATCAGGTCTCTAAATAAAACAAGGTGAAATCAAAAATGGTTGGGTTCCACCTGAAAAATGAGAGAAGTGGGAGTGGGCAAGCATTTCCATACAGTGGAGCCATCACAGTTAAAGTAGTACCAAGAAATTATACAGTGCACACACACACAAACCATGTTTCTGAAGCAAGAGACTTTTCATGTACACTTATCATGATAGGCATCATCTTGCTAGGAGCTTCCTCTTAAACATGCAATAAAAAAAGAAATGCCTCTTTCAAGATTGTGTTTGCTGACTGCAGTTTTTGAAGATGGCAGTGTTTGTGTACCGTTAAGTACGTGGTGTTTATGTATACAAAGTTTAGCACCTGTTGCTTGATCAATTGGGGTCAACTTCTGATTCAGTTAATTAATTTTGTTTGATCTACCCTATAAATTGATTACATATTGCAGTCTTAGTTCTAGACTCTTATTTGTGATAATTTTAAATCAGAGCTAACAAAGTTTTAAAAGAAAATGTTACAACACTGGAAGGCTGACTAATACATGGTTGTCACAACAGCACAAGACAGACAGGGTGACCTTTTGTAGAGTTGGATTGAATTCTACCCATGATCTAGTTCAATCTATTCCTGGCTTAGCCCCAAGCTTTCTAATATGACCCCAGACAGAGTCCAAGGCCAGCTTTCTATCCATTAATCCATACTACCAATCCTGGATTACCAGCTTTCCAGTAATTTATAGTATGTTCAGTCCCCAGTGGTAGAAGTAACCTGACTTTTTAAGGCAGAGAGTAGTCTCACAACACCCAAGGGGGGATACTTGCTTTAATGGGCAGGAAAAGTATATCAATGATCCAAAACACTCTGGTTTCAAGTTTAAAACAAATACTCTAAACTTGGATTTGAACCAAGAGCTGTTTCAGAATATTCACTTGAAATACTTTTCCTACATACCCAGCAGCCCCTTATGGTCTCAGACACAGCAGAAGAAAACATATATAGAGCACACAAACTCATTCTATTTATGCATCAACCTGTAGTCACTTATTATAACAACTGAATGAAAACATCATCTTTGCTCAAAGCGCATAGGTTTTTGAATGACAATTAGACTGATTTGAAGAGCACAGTATTATTATTTTGGAGGAAAAGACTGCATTTTTAATTCACACACTAGATCTAACAACAAAAGCAAGAAGCAACCACAATGTAGCAAGATACTGTTTTAACATTTTGTTGTGTTCTCAAATATCGGAATTCCCACTATCCCTCTCTTCCTTTATGGTTTTCCACTCTCCTAATAAATATTAGATTTTATGTTCTTTAACTTCAGGGTTGGTGAAGATGTTTAGTATTTGGAAATAGCAGTTGATTGATACCCATAGCCCCAAATTCATGGTACCCAGCAGCTGAAGCAAATTCTTTTCATACATTGGGTTTTCTTTATTTCTTTATCTGTCTCCATCTACTTGGCCCCAAAACTAAAATGAATTAACAATTAACCATTTATTTACTTTTCATAAATCCCAAATATGTTGCCTCACCTGGCCTAATGTGAATTGACTTGCTCAGGCTGAACAAGATTGAATAATGGAACAGCTTCCATCAATGGAATTATGAAGGGAATGATCTCACCAGATCACTGCTGTTGTCTTTCCGAGCACCTTTCAAAACCTTCTATTCTAGAGGGATGATAACACCTTTGAAGCTGATTTCCAAAGGCTACAGAAGAAAGGAGATTCCAGGATAATACTGGATGCAAGCCATTGAGTTCACCTCTTCCATATTTCCACAGTCTAGCTTAGAGCTAGACAAGAATATCATAGGAGATCCACAGTCAGCATCAATTCAGCACAATCAGCAACAATATAGAAGCCATTGTATTTTTGTATATCCTTCTTCTGCTAGTTTCCTTCTGATTAAAAAGTGTGCTTTTATTTTCCCTGTAGAGCAAAACATATAGGTTCTCAAAGAAGTACAGATCGAGCCTAGCTTTGGGGACAACTTCTGCCCGAAAATGTCACTTTTTCGTATGTTCATGGCAATTTGTGCTGAATCCAAATCCTGCAAGTGGCAGAGGGAGAACATACAAGTAGTTCACCACAGCTGAGAAGCAATGACAATAATATTTTTCAAGTGCTTTACCTGGACCTCCCATAAATCACTCAAAGTTGCACAGTGGCAAAGCAAATTCCAAGTGTATAAAAGATCCCACAACATTTCCTTAACACTACCCATCATACTACAGACAAAACAAAGTAAATCTAACAAAGTAATTGCTGAGCTTCCTGTGCAATGACAGCTCAGTTTTCTGGACAGCAGAGGTGTACAGACACAGCATGTTATTACCTTTACCTATGAGGTTTAAGGACAACTGACAGTCCCAACCCCCAACTAGTTAATGTCTGCCTGATGGCAAGCTTCAGGCAATTGGTTTAACTTTGTCATCAATCCTGGTCACAGTCAATTTCTCACAAGGGATTGCTTAATTTTTATGTATGACAAGCTCTTGACTAAATGAGCATGTTTGCCTATTTTTAAGAGGCCTCAAATCTGGGAATATGTGTCTGAGGTTCATAATTTCTTCAAATCCCCCTCCTTCACTGATAAGATCTACTCCTCTACCTGCTCCGAAAATATCCTCCCTCACCCTGTGAAGTCACGGCAACTGTCAGTGATGTGTCTGTTTAAAAAGCCCTTTTCTGCCAACAATGCAAATAAAAACAAGTACGCATACACACATCCTACCCATAGAACAGCAATGTTTTGCCAATACTGTAAAAAAACTAATTGAATTTTGAACATTTCCCATCTTCTTAAATGAATGTGATGAAGGAAGAGAGATGTGACAGCAAATTAAGTCTACCACTATCAAGTACAACCATTAAAGATGTTCTGCTAGTATGATTTTTCCTTATCTGTCTCTAAAGTAAAATTTGATGGCTTCTTTTTTCAAAGAGAAAAAACAGTGGGAAGAGAAGGAACAACAGCCAAAAGAACACTCTTCTCCAACTTGATGCTCTCCAGGTGTTTTGTACTACAAGTCCCATCAGCTGGAACCAATACAATGAACAGGTATGATGGGAGTTTAAACCAAAACTTCTGGAGGCCACCAGAAAATCACTCACTGCAATAACTAGATCCCTCTCTTTCACTGATTCCAGTTATTCCAACCCTCAGCAGAATAGATCTCTTACCCAAGTCAATGCATGAGGAGTTTCAGAGAGAAACATGCACACATTTAATCAACAGTGGTGATGTAACCTCAATTCTCCATCATTCTGTGGTGGGAAAAATCAATATCTTTCAGATTTCTATGAGACTAGAAAATACGTAGTCTCGTACAATTGAGGAGTCAAAAAATACATCATGATCTCTATCACTCTCCACACAAAAAATACTCCCCTCTTTTCCCCCCAAGGGCAAGGAAGAAAAAGAATGTCCATTTACATTATTATTCTGTTAGTAGGTTGAGACAGGAAAAGCATATTGGAAGCATCCTGCAATAAATGCGTTGCAAAAGGAACAATGGTATGTGTAACCTAAACCCACACTCAAATGGATGTCAGTGTGAACCAGAGTACAATTCAACCCTGTGATCTCTCTTCTCCACTCAAATGCTGCCCTTTTCAGATACTGCTCACTCAGTGGCAATGTTCACCTTGAGGTGTCCCCCACTCCACGGTTTTTGCCTCATCGTCACCGTAATTGGAAACCGGCTGAAGAAGAGCAAGGGAGGTAGAAAATACTTGTTTACTACCTAGCACTGACCTCCTTGCTCTTTGTCATCCCCAGATGAATCCTCTGCAAACAACCAAAAAAGCTTATGTCTTTGCATGCCCAATGTACATTGGACGCTAGAGACAATGGAGCAGAAGAGATAAGAAAACCTTAGTAGTTATCTTAACAGACAGTGTGGCCATGGGCCTATCTGCAGTCAGTCACTGCGCCCTCTGCCATAACATACGTTAGGATCCAATGGGTTCCTTCAGCTCCCACCTCTGCTCCCCATGTCTAATCCCATAGCTGTTCTGGAAATTTCAAGGGATCTTTCTATTA